GTTTTTCTGTGATGGCACAGCTGAATAACTTCAGCCTTCAGTGTCACACGATTCTCAAAAAATAATTTTAATATGTTGATTTGGTGCTCAAGAAACATTTCTCATTTTATAAGTGTTGAAAATGGTGTTTAATATTTTCGTAGGAACTGATGACTCATTTTGTTTAGACTTTTTTGATGAATAATCATAAAAAAAACAGCATTTAATTGAAACTGAAGAATTTTATAACATTTACAAATGAAACTTTTCATCAATTTAATGAATCCTCCCTGAAAAAAATACATTACTTCCCAAAAATAAAAAAAAAACAAAGAAATATCACAAACTTTTGAAAGGTAGTGATCCTGATCAGGCCTATAATTATTCGCCAGAAAATGTATTGTTTCTGCGCTTTTAAAAATGTATAAAATGTTCTCAAGATGGGATAATAACATGTATAGATCGTTTAAGGAATGTTTTCTCTGATTTAGTGAAAGACTGTAAATAATGTTGTCCAATACTTTTGAATCACAACGATGTTTCATGTAGAACCATATTTCATGCTAAAGTCATTACTCATTCAAGCCAAATGGCTTATCATTGCAGTCCCGTTTCATGCCATTCAACATTCATAACCTCTCACATTCTCTGTCTCTAACTGGGTCAAACCCGAGCTTGTCTAAACTCCACAGAGACGACCCTTGAGCTCTGAGCAGCTTATAACAGCGTTTAGCATTTGTATAGAAAAGCGTCAAATTGTATTCTTTTATCTATTTAATAATACAGTATATTCAGAAAAGCCTAAAACCGTGTAAATGGCTTCTCACTGACCAGTATTGTTATGAATCGATTTTAACCTTTTCTGAGTCAAAATTTTTACCATATGCTGAAATTTGTATTGAATAAAAGTTATTCATAAGCTGATCCCAGACCTGCCCATTGAAGTAAATCAGGGTCAGCCTTCGACAGCCTTCGTGTCTTTCACAAAATAGCTAGCTAGTGCAATAAATAAAATAGGGACTGTATAGTAGACTTGTAATATATACAAGCATGCGTTTTAGGCTTTTGTAATATCATAACTCTTTAGACAGATAGCTGAACATGCTGCTGTACTAACACATTCCTCTGTTCCATTCGCCCTGTGTGTGTCCACCGCTGTACATACTGTTGGCTGAGCACTGTCTTTGAGTTTACACTTGAAATCACAAATGGGCTAAATCGTTAAAAAACATATAGAGAGAGAGAAATCTACACTGTAAAATGGACTTTTGTGCCTTTTTAACCATGTATGTCATTCTAAAAAGACAATCCTGCAAAGCTTGTATACAACCAAATCACAAGTAAATAATCTGAAAAATGACTAAAGAGTGGTGTGTTGTCTCACAGCGTGGTCCACAGTGTTTATTTCGCATTTGAGAAGTCCTGTTGGGCAGCCTTAAAAAGGTTTTTTTCTGATTGTTGAGGTTGTTTAGTATGAGAAAAGCAGATACTTGGTTAAATATGAATGAATGGAAATGAATGGAAAAATCTTGTAACAATCTGTAGTTTTCTGAAACGGTTGACTCAAAGTGAGTTTATTAGCAGTGTGTTATCAAAGTCTGTTTAAATGCTGTGGTTAAAAATGCAGAATGTGCTGGTTCAGCTGAAGGAGAAATGGCTTGAAAGAAATGAGGTGGAATATAATCAAGGACAGGTTGATATCTCTGGAGACATTAGACATACAGAGTGTTGTGTTTTGATGTGTACACGTTAAATTAATTTGGTATTATACTATATACTGTGCATTTTCTTCTTGTTATTTTTTATTATTAATAATAATAATTTCATACATGTATATAGCACTTTTATGGACACTCAAAGAACTTTGCAAATTTTTTGGTGGGAAATCTCCTCATCCCCCACCAGTGTGCAGGCTAGGGTAACCCCACTGCTAAAGAAACCCAACCTGGACCATACGCTACTTGAAAACTACAGACCAGTATCCCTGCTTCCATTCATGGCCAAGATTCTGGAGAAAGTAGTGTTCAATCAAGTCCTGGACTTTCTTACTCAAAACAATCTCATGGACAACAAGCAATCCGGCTTTAAGAAAGGCCACTCAACTGAGACTGCCCTGCTCTCGGTCGTGGAGGATCTCAGACTGGCTAAAGCAGACTCTAAATCATCAGTCCTCATTTTGCTGGACTTGTCAGCTGCTTTTGACACTGTCAACCACCAGATCCTGCTATCTACGCTTGAGTCACTGGGCGTTGCGGGCACTGTTATACAATGGTTTAGATCTTACCTCTCTGACAGGTCATTCAGGGTGTCTTGGAGGGGAGAGGTGTCCAACCTACAGCATCTAAACACTGGGGTACCTCAAGGCTCTGTTCTTGGGCCACTTCTCTTCTCCATCTACACATCATCTCTAGGACCAGTCATCCAGAGACATGGATTCTCCTACCACTGCTATGCTGATGACACCCAGCTATACCTCTCTTTTCATCCTGATGATCCCTCGGTTCCAGCTCGTATCTCAGCCTGCCTGTTGGATATTTCACACTGGATGAAAGATCATCATCTTCAGCTGAACCTCGCAAAAACGGAAATGCTTGTAGTTTCTGCCAACCCGACTCTACACCATAACTTTTCAATCCAGATGGATGGGGCAACCATTACTGCATCCAAAATGGTGAAAAGCCTTGGAGTAACGATTGATGACCAACTAAACTTCTCTGACCACATTTCTAGAACTGCTCGATCGTGCAGATTTGCACTCTATAACATCAGAAAGATCCGACCCTTCTTATCTGAACATGCAGCTCAACTCCTTGTTCAAGCTCTTGTTCTCTCCAAACTGGATTACTGCAACTCTCTACTAGCTGGGCTTCCAGCTAACTCTATCAAGCCTCTTCAACTGCTCCAGAATGCAGCAGCACGAGTTGTCTTCAATGAACCTAAACGAGCACATGTCACTCCGCTGCTAGTCCGTTTGCACTGGCTGCCAGTTGCTGCTCGCATCAAATTCAAAACTCTGATGTTTGCCTACAAAGTGACTTCTGGCCTAGCACCTTCTTATCTGCACTCACTTCTGCAGATCTATGTGCCCTCCAGAAACTTGCGTTCTGTGAATGAACGTCGCCTCGTGGTTCCATCCCAAAGAGGGAAAAAATCACTTTCGCGAACGCTCACGCTCAATCTGCCCAGTTGGTGGAATGAACTCCCTAACTGCATCAGAACAGCAGAGTCACTCGCTATTTTCAAGAAACGACTAAAAACTCAACTATTTAGTCTCCACTTCACTTCCTAAGCTGCAATTGCCTCTTTGAATATCACACTAATTGTACAAAAAAAAAAAAAAAAAAAAAAAAAAAAACACTTCCCTTCTTAGACTTTACAGACCTGAAACTTGCCTTTAGTACTTATTCATTGTTGCTCTTAGTTGTGTAAATTGCTTCCTTGTCCTCATTTGTAAGTCGCTTTGGATAAAAGCGTCTGCTAAATGACTAAATGTAAATGTAAATGTAAATGAAGCATTGGCAGCCATATTGCGCCAGACATCAGGCCACACACCAGCTAATTGGGGGAGAGGAAACAGAGTGACAGCCAATTATGATATGGGGATGGTTAGCAGGCCATGATGGACAGAGCCCAGTGGGCAAATTTGGTTTTTATTGACCACAGAGAGTCAGGACATCAATTATGCATCTCATCCAAAAGACGGCGTTCACTGAACAGTATAGAGTCCCCATCAATATACATAAGGACCCACACAGATCACAGATTGTGCACCCCCTGCTGGTCTCACTAACACCACTTCTGGCAGCAACCTAGCTATCCCATGTGGTCTCTGCTTAGCTTCAGTGGGCGACCATGTGACAGTTGCAGAGAGCTAGCTGCCGGCAAGATGCTTGGCAGACTTTAGGTGCTTGAAAAAGAATTGTTTCATTTCCAGAATGAAAGTTTCCCTATAATCGACTCATCTGTTTCTTCTGTCTAAAAGAAATTAAGGTTTTTGAGGAAAGCATGCAGGTTTTTTTTCATATAGTGGACTTCTATGTTGGTTAGTGGTATGAACGTTCAAATTGCAGTTTCAACACAGCTTCAGAGATATCTACATGTTTCCAGCCAAGTAATAAGTGTCTTACCTAATTCAATGATTTAGTCATGTGGTCCACTATATGGAGCAGGGGTTCCCAAACTTTTCAGCTCACGACCCCCAAAATAACAATGCCAGTGACTCGCAACTCCCAAATTTCTCGGAGGTGGTTATAAATCTACAAACGTTGCACACATAACAATAGGCCTATATAAACACAAGTATATTGACAACACAAAAAAGTGCATCAGTATAAGAACCATATCGTTTTTATAGTCATTTATTTATGTTTAATTTAGTGTTGACCTCAGCTAAAGAAACTGTTGGACACAATGTTTTCAGCACAAGTCTGTTCCTGGTGTATTATCGGAGACCGCCACTCAGAGATCATTCTCAAAGTTCAGTTGTGGCTTGTATTTATTTGTAATGTATTTAATTGCCATAAAGGTGTCAGAAAGTTTAACCTAGTGCTATAAAATCAATTTGCTGCAGCTGACGCTATTGCTGTGTTGTTAATCTAACGTAAACACACCAGTCCTATGAAAAAAAAAAATGTAAAAGATCGGACAACAAAATTTTATTCGCCTGTTGTTTTTATGTAACTATTCACTACTATTTTATATCATATCTTCTGTGGATTATGGAAATAATATGGTAATTCTAATAATTTTATTTAAAAAATTTTGACTTTTAAAAATCACCAAAATCACCAAGCGACCCCCTGTCATTGTCCCTAACTTTGGAAACTACTCATATGGAGAAGAAAACTGTATGTTTTACCAAAAAATGTGTTTTGAAGGAAGAACGAAATTAACATGTTAAATGACAAGGGAAGAGTAAATGATTTGGAAATCATTAATAAAGGAGGGAACTGATCCTTTCAATGCCACACAACTTTTTCAACATGACTCCACTGAGTTTTTTTTTTCTTGCATTGTTACAGGACATCGCCGTGGCTGAACCTTCGCCTTCGTTCTCTCAGACGCGTATGAAGCGAGTGGACTTTGTGTCTGGTGTTTTGATGTTTGATGATCTGAGAGAGGAGGTTGTGAAGACTGGAGGTTCAGGAAGTGATGGGAGTCCACGCAGTAGTGAGGGAAGCCCGGAAGGGGCAGCGTCCACCCTACTCGCCCCTGCACATCGAGACCATGACCAGGAAGAGGGCTCACGCACACTGGTGCTTGTGTCTGCCGGTAACGGACAAGTTTCACCTGGGGATGGGCAGGGAACGCTTGCTGCTTTGACACCGCAGGGAGAGCGACCTGTGCCGGAAGAATCTGAACCTGGCACTCTTTCCTCTGTCATTAAATCAGAGCCCAGGCCTATCGTCATGACAACTGCGGCTGTGATCACCAGTGGTTCTTCCTCGCCACCGTTTACTAAAGTGGAGCGCACTTTCATCCACATCGCTGAGACGTCACATCTTAATGTCATGACAGCCAGACACCGTCCGTCTGGATTCGATGAGCCGATATCTGTTGAGCGTGACGAAATGGGGGAAGAGAAAGAGGATCGGTCAGGGCAACTAGTGGAGATAGAGAGGAATAGTAAAGGGATTAAGGTGGAAAGGGAAGGGGATGAGAAGAAAAAGGAAGAAAGTGAAGCTGAGAAGGAAAAGCAGGAAGTAGAAAATGTAATTATTAGTAGCAGAGAGGAAGCAGAGACTGTGTTTTTAGCTGAGCAGCCAGTGTCTATAGCTATTAAAGAAAATATTTCAATAGAAACCAAATTAGATGACGAACAAGATGGTGTCACAACAGAGAAAGAACAGGAGCAAGAAGAGAGTCCATCTGTGTCCCCTGAACAAAACAGAGATGCTGAAGTAGAGGATGAGAAGGATGTGTCTCCACCAGAGGTGGAGTCACCTGATAGAAAGCCACTCCCACAAAGGCGGAGCCGTATTCCTGTGCTCATGTCAGAGGATGAAACGGGCTCAGACAAGTCATCGCAGACGAGTCAAGAGCAGTTGCAACGAACTCGCAAAAGCAGACACCAACAGTTGGCCCGTCTGGTTCTGGAGCGTAAACAAACGCATATGATGCGCTCTCGTTCTGCCTCCTCACACTCCCCAACACTCTCCACCACTGCATCTGAGGATGAAGCCCACCAATCTGATGACTCCGCTAAAGGAGCGGATGGGAAAATTAAGAGCAGGATCCCTCGGCCAGTCACGCCTATCAGGGGGTCTTACGACCTGTTAAAGTGCGCGACTCTACCGCAAACCCAGAGATCTGTGTCTTTTATTCAATACAGGTGGGTGGAGCAGAAAATTATTTGGTACACATCAAAATTTTGAACATTTGTTTGAATTTATGTTTCTCATGAGTCTTAATTTGAAAACAATTTGAAATATATTTTCTTTAAGAGCAAATGTATAATGATTTCTTGCCATTCCTTTTAAATGCAACTTATACTTCAAAATTTACATGTATATTTTAATGGTCACCATTCATACTTTGTGCATACATTTTGCACATATTAATTGATAATTTTTTGGAGATATAAGTTTTTCCACAAAATGCCAGCAATTCTTCACAGATAACAATTAACAATAGATGCCTACATGTACATTAGATTAGTCAGTACTGAAGCCAAATCTGGAGCTTATCTAACAAAAGAACGATAAAAAACTACTAAACCTAAATTTAAATGTTATTCAAAAATATTAAAAACAAATTTTAAAAAGGGGAAAAATCAAGAGAAGCAAAAAATGTAAAAATTTAGTTGAAATTTTGTAGGTTCTAATTTTTTTTGCAATATTTTGCTTTAATTGTTTTCTTTCAATTACTAAATATATTTGGCGACAAATATTATTTTAATATACTTATCTGTTTAATAAATTCATTTTGTTTAAATGCATCAAAATACATCGCCTATATCCACTGAAAGATGGATAAAAACATTCATTTTCAAAATAGGGTCTACTCAATTATACTGAGCACTGTACTTATATATGTGATAATAATACCCCATGAGCTGTTATAATGCACATACTGTATGTCAACCGCTTTGCAAGTAGTGTTGGGTGCAACGCATTGCAAGTAACGCTTTTTATGTAATAATATTACTTTTCTAAGTAACGAGTAAAGTAATGGATTACATTTAAAAAATAAGTAATAATATTTGAGTTACTTATTTCACAATGTAATGCAAGTTACCTTTTAGTTTCATTAATTAGCTTTTAAAAAGTAAATTGCTGAATAAAAAGTAAAGTAGTTACAAGGAATCACACACTTAACGAGAGAATGTGTTCAGTAGTTTGAACACATTGAAGAAAAGGTAAAAGGGATTGTCTTAATGGACAGTCATTTTACTTGAGACAAAATTACAAAATTAAGGCAAAAGTACAAAAGTAGCAAACACGTTGCTTTTAAACTTTCAATAATCTGTATATACTGCATGTATAGCTCTGGGTTCAGGAAGTTCCTCTAATATAAAAGAAAGAAAAATAACAAGTTCTAAAAGAGATCAAGCTCAGGCAATAAAAATTAACGCAAAAGCTATGCAAAAGTAACGTGATTCATTACTTACCATAAAAAGTAACTAAGTAACTCAACTAGTTACTTTTTTTTTTAGAGAATAACTCAATATTGTAATGCATTACTTTTAAAAGTAACTTTCCCCAATAATGTTTGCAAGCACATCAAATGTAGTATACTTGGAAAGACTTATGAACATGAACCGCCTGTTATCTAGGCTTGCATGTAAAAAGTATACAATGGTACATTGGGCTTTAATGTAGAGATCTGCTTGAGACAAAATTTTTAATCCCGTTCCCTCCAGGTTTTAGTCCGAACTGACCTCTTCCACTTATATTCAGCATTTGTTGTCCCGCTGTCTGACCCGCCCCGCTTTCTACCCGCCGTTCCCACTAACTAGGGGTTGCGAACAGAGGACCAAAACCAGACAGCCTATAACAAGCCATCTGTATAGACACACACACACATAGACACACAGCACCAAACAAGCGACACAAAGCATCACGCTCTCTCTCATTTACACACACACTCACGCACATAGACAGCACCAAGCTAGCGACGCACAGCATCACGCTCTCTTTCTTTAATCACACACACACACATACATAGATAGCAACAAACAAGCGACACACAGCATCACGCTGTCTCATTCACACACATACATACGTGTACTTGCTTGCCCGGCAGTCGGGAGCGATATTGTTAGACCACCCGCTCCCGTTCAAATTACACCAGTTACCGACCACTCCCATGCTTTATTCGGAAATTTATTCCCATACCGCAAGAAATCTGGTCGGGTCCCGTGGCAGACCTTTACTTTAATGTGACATGTAAAATTGTGCATACTGAACCTAAATGGAGATAATGATTGTATTATAATTCCACTGAATGATATGACTCTTTATTTCTTCCTCTCCAACAGAACCAACAGTTCTATCAATCCCAAGATTCAGAAATCTGCAAGTCTGCACACAAATATTCATCAGCAGCCGCCTAAACCTCAGCTCCGCCCCTCTAAAACACTTCCACCCCTTCCTCCATCTTCAGGTCCTTCCCACACTCAAGGAAGCCGGACGGCCACACGTACCGTTACTCGTACCTCAGCTCCTAATGCCACCAGAAGCATCAGTACTTCCCCGCGAAGCTACGGCACCTCCCGCACCGACAGCCCCTCGCCTCAGCGCATTCGACGACAGCTTGCAGCCAATGAAACGCAACGGCAAGCCCAGCAGCCCAGACCTCCAGTCCCGTCTGTGTCCAAATCCAAACCTCAGGACTCCACCACCCCAAGAAAGAGCAAATCCCACCCATCAACCTCAACAAAAGCAAAGAAAGATCCACTGGAGTCAAAAACAAAAACAAGATAATTACAGTGTGTGAAGAAGGACTCCATTGCTCTAGATTATCTTCATCCTCAGCATCAACACCACAATCACTCTCTGAATTGTCAGACACGCAACCAAACAATATGAAGGACACGTTCGCTATTCTGCCAAGTGACTGCAGCAGCTACTTAAATACCTCTGCTGAGGAAAACCTCTGACATTTACACACAGCGAGTGTGTGTGTGGGAGAGTTGTCATTAATGAGGGGTGTTGGACGGATAAACACACCTCATATGCCTTAAACCTGCAAAGGAAATTATTGCTGCCATCACAAAAAAGCTTCCACAGGCTCTCATGTCCACAGCGCAAACACTACTATCATGTTCAATAATGAAGCCAATCATACTGTACGAGTAAAAATTGGGATCTACTTAGCTTTAATACTTTTCAATAGATTAAAGTACCTGCCAGTTATTCACTGAAATATCATTTGTGAAACAGGGCAAACCAACATCAGAATCAGAATCTACAAATCCTAAAATAATTACAAAAATTATATTCAATTTATTTGTGTTTAAGAGAGACTTTTATATCAGCTAATGCAGTGTGTTAACCTGTATTAGGTAGTTCTGTGCAGAAATTTCTGAAAAGTGAGCGATTCTTAATTCTCTAGTTCTAAAACCTGCATTTAATTTCTACACAGAGCTAAGGGTATGTTTACACAACACTGTCAACTAAAAACATTTCAACTCGTTTATTGCATTTTCTGCTGATGATTTACATAAAAAAATTAAATTAGGTAGCTAAGAATACTAACTTTAGATAACCAAGGCTCATTCTGATTACGTACCCCTATATACATTTCAGAACACAGCAAAATACGTCACAGGAGCTAGATTTATTTTATTTTTTTTCGTGAATCCACCAGATACTGCTGTGTATGCTTTTTGAGATCCCAAATTTCTCTCGTGAGTGCCATTCAAGTCTGCTGTTCTCACATAAATCCACCAGAGGCTGGATTTGTCAACTGACTGACTTTTTGACTAACCAACCAACCGAAACCCTTACTCTCCCCCTTCCCTAAACCCAACCAATAGCATTTTAAAAAGCGCCGTTTGACCCGCCCACCCCTTTCCTAAACCCAACCTCAGTATTTTAAAAAGCAATCCAGAAAAAGAAAAGCCCACAGATTTTTACCACGTTTTCAGATTTTACCACATTTTGACCCTGTTAATTACTTGTTTATTTACTTTTTGGATTCTGTTTTTGTCTTACCTGCTTTCTGGAACTGTTCTTCACCAGACTCGAACCCTGTTGTCATGGTCAACACCTCTGCATCTCATTCCACTGACGTACGTGTCGAGCTACCCGACAAACTGGTAACAGCGAAAAAGATAAGCATACGGAGGTAAGCGGTCAGCTGGTAAGCGTGAAAGGAAACGGCACCTTACCACCTCATAGCGCTCATTTTAAAGATGAAATGCAGCCATAAGTTGACATCATTTGTGATCTCCAGAAACGTAAATAAGTCTACATTTTCAGAATGAGCCTATGTTGACTTTTGATAATGGGTTACAAAGCCTCTGATCTTCATGTAAGTAGCGTGTAAAATGTAAATTTGTGTGAAACGGATACGTTATGCGCATGTTTATTTCAGTATATGCTCAATTCATAAGCATGTGCGACTACTTGATAATCAAAACAATTATGGCGGATTACAGGACTGTGAGGATTGAGGATTGTTTACAAAATTACATCACCATCTACTGACCTGGCATGCATAATACAACTTTTTTAGTAGTTTTCAAAGATTCGTGTGGAATGGGATCATCTCTGTGTAAAGCACAGATGATGCAAACTTGTGAAAATGATGACACCATGCATATTACATATAACAGTCTATAGGCATGTGCGTACTTGCAACCAAAACAATGATAGCTACTGAACCATATATGCACAGGTTTGTGGTGTTTCTTTACAGGTGATATCACCATCTACTGGCCTGGCATGCGTAATGTAGTTATTTCACCCGCTTCAAATGATATCACTCGATTGAATGGGCATTATCAGTGGTTATCAGTTGAAAGTTGGGGGCTTCTGTGCGTACTGGTAGGCTTAGAAGGCTTTTTTCATCCATCCACATGGCTAGTCAGCTACACAAATAAGAAAGACTCCAGATTTAGACCTGTTTTTACATAAATGTTACAGTTGGGTTTAGGGTTGAGGTAGGGGTAGACATTAATAAAATATAATTAATGGGAAATTTAATAAATAATATAAATCATTCTTGTGGTTAATCAACTTCACTTATAGAGAAGTAGTAGATTCAGATCTGTTTTTACATTACTGTGATGGTTGGGTTAGGGTTGGGGTAAGGGTAGACGTTAATAAAATATAATTAATGGGAAATTTATAAATATTAAAAAATAAAAAATATATATATAAAAAAAATAAATAATATCAATCATTCTTGTTAACTTCTGGCCTCAGCCAAATGTGATTTATAGCTGATTAACCATGTAAATGGATGAGAACAGCCTTCTGAGCTTACCGGTAGGCACAAAAGTCCCATACTGGCTCATATCTATCAGCTGATAATAACTGATAATGCCTGTTTAACCAGGTGACAGCATTCGAATCGGCTGTCCAAAATACAAAGTAAAATTGTTGGTCATAAATTTACACAAAAACATTATTTTAGTTCCTGAAAATGCAGACCTTTGGGTTTCAAAGCTCAAGTATTTGAAAAAATACAGTTAATGAATGTGATTTTATTATTACAGGTTTGTGCACGAGTATGGATCCATGCCAAATAATAATAATAAAATTGCTTTTAGTACTTCAATGTTCTGTAAACATACCCTAAAGATCACTAATGTTGCTGCTACAGTTTGACATCAATCATACTATCATCTTTGCTCCACCCACCATCTTTAATTCTCTTCCTGATTGGGTCATCTGTGACCTGTCTGGTAAATGTATTTGTTACCGAACCCCAGACCAGTGGCTTGCATTCAGAAATGCTTGTCCGCTTCTGTTTATTGTCTTTTGCAAAACTGTAGATAATGTAAGCAGTACTTAAAAAAAAATCTAAATATATATTTTTGTTCCAAAAAACAACAAAGGCTACAAAAAAGATTATTGGGTGAAAATAGGAGTAACTTAGTTGCATTTTCTTCAGTGCCAGGCTGAAGATGCACCACTCGGATCTGTATACAACATTTAGAGTTCAAAGAGTGTTTGAGGAAGCTGAACGAAGGTTGAAGAGAACACAAAAGCTCCTCAAAAACCAGGTACACCAAGGAGAAATGCAGCAGAAATCAATAATGTGTGTTAAAAGAGCATGTGTGGGGTTTGTAAATGTACTCCGGGATGCTATTTTTATGCCGTTCTGATATTCCTGAGTGTCCAGAGCATGTGTTCAAAGGCTACTAATCTGAAGTGGAAAATAATAACTAAGGTGCTATCGGAGTGTGTCTTCATGCCCGCTCTAGTCATTGGTGTTTTTTTCTGTCCTGTGCGTGGATGAAAACTGAACATCCATGAAGATTGTCAAGTCACCAGAGGAGAAAAATGTCTTTAGTGCACAGTAGCCAGTGTTATCTGTGAGTGATCTTAAAGAGAGAGAGAGCTTCATTTAGACCATGCCCACTGCAGAACCATTGCATGCTGTCGTTTGGATGAAATAACAGGAAAATATGTTCCATCTGTGGAGAACCCAGAACACTCTCTCTACGCTCCAAATGCCAACAAGTTTTGAGGAAAGACACGTCCTCCTGGTTGGTCATCTCTCTTCAGTGTGTTGCTTTGAGAGAATTTGCATGAATGTGTTTCATGAATCATGATTGACTAACTTATACTAAGGTGCAACCTTTCTGAGTTATAAAATGACAAATTATTACAAATTATCAATGATGCCATTCAATAAATGCAAGTTCCATCACTGTTTTGGTTGATTGTTTTCCTTCTCTCTTTCCAGAAACACTCAGTGGATGTTGTGCATAGGGGAATCTGCATGTCCTTGCTGTGGTGAAAGCAGCGGTGGAAAGTAACCAATTACAAATACTCAAATTACTGTAACTGAGTAAATCTTCTCAGGAATTGCACTTTTCTAAGTATTTTAGACATCTGTGCTTTTACTCAGTATATATTTTACTTCCACCTACAGTCACCACGCTGTAGTTTTTGACAGTAGTAAAAAGTGTAGTGTTTGTAGTGTTCTGTTGTCTACAGTGATTGTCTAAGTACAACAATCAATCGCTTGATCCACATCCATTTTCTACTCAAGAGTTGAAATGGAGGATTTTAATTCCGTCAATAGGACCTGTCGATGTTTTGTTTGACCATCGGCGCCATGTTCAGCTGGTTTGTGGCGTCCTCTGAGGGGTCAGTTTTTGCTTCTGTCTTGCTCTGTTTAGGCGATTTGGAGGTCATGTTTTATCGAAGTGATGGTTTTCTCCAATGATGGAGTGTTCTGATTTTTAGTTCACAAATAAAATAAATAGGCATTACGAAAACGTGAGGGAACGAGAAACAAACACGTCTACTTCATTAGCCCAGCCAACCGGAAATCCCAGCTTGATCCACATCCAATAAAACTGCACGGAAAAATTATTTCAGGGTTCAAAGTGCATAATCTAAGAATTAACATACAGTATCGTCAAAACTACTTTTCTCTATATCGCTTTGCATGTAAATGCACCAGCCTGCTTTCTGTCAACTTATTATAGTGCATAATGTAATGTGTTCTTATTTGAAAATAATATCACATTTTAAATTTATAGTCAATGAATGGCAAATAAATGAATTTACACTGAAGCATTCTTTAATGAAAATGGCACTGATCTAATCTACTTTTATCATTTTTATTTTATTAATTATTATCACTTTTCCCAGAGATGGGTTGTGGCTGGAAGGGCATCTGTGCGTAAAAAAAGTGCTGGATAAGTTGGCGGTTCATTCTGCTGTGGCAACCCTGGATTAATAAAGAACTAAGCCAAAAAGAAAATGAATGTATAATTATCACTCTTGAGTACTCCTAGAAGGGCTCATATTTGAGTACTATATGGAACATTTACTTTCTCTTAGGACAGCACGGTGGCACAGTGGGTAACACAAACAGAAGGTTTGCTATTCTCCTCGTGTTCCGGTGGGTTTCCTCCAGGTGCTCTGGTTTTCCCCACAGTCCAAAGATGTGCTATAGGTAAATTGAAGAAGCCAAATTGGCCGTAGTGTATGTGTAGATGTGCATAGTGTAGTGTAGATGTGTATAGTGTAAAACATACACTGGTTTGTTAAGTATGTTAAGTTCTGGAAAAATGGTTCATTCCACTGTGGCGGATTAATAAAGGGGTTAATAAAGGGACTTAGCCAAAAAAGAAAATGAATGAACAAACTTTTCCTCTATCACTACATTTTTGACAAGTAATGGTACTTTTACCTGACTTAGATTTTTTTAGTTCTCTTTCCACCATGGGTGAAGATGAAAAAGAATGATGTTTCATATAATGAACCAACAACAGAGAACTTTTAGATCTTAGAATAAAAATCAGAAAGAGCTTTATTGCCAAGTGTGCTTGCACACACAAGGAATTTGTCTTTATGATAAGAGCTTCCAGTACAGAGAGTACAAAAAGTACAAACATAGTGGAGCAAAGTGCAAAGTACAAACAGAGTGCAACAAAGTAGAAACATAGAGGAGACATGAATAGAAAAAACATGAATAAATGGCAATATCATTTAGAAAATCTAGAGAAAAAAAAGTTGTTCCTGTATACAGAGTTTATTGTGCATATGAGGTAATTAACGGTGGTTCAGGTGGGAAATGACCAGAGGGAAAAATGTTTTTGTGCTCTGGAGCGCCAGCCAGAGGGCAACAGTTCAAAGAGAGAGTGGCCTCGGTGTGAGGGGTCCAGAGTGATTTTCCGAAACAATATCCGTGACGGTTTGCTGCCAAGTGTGACGTAGCTGGAATGAGAATCAGCACATATAAATCCTAGGCCATGGTGGTCCACAGGAAAAGGTGGTTTGCCATCTTCAGGTTGGAAGAAAGTCCTTACCCCAGGTGGAAGAGTTCAAGTATCTTGGAGTTTTGTTCACGAGCGAGAGAAGGATGGAAGGTGAGATTGACAGGAGGATTGGTGC